CAGTTATTCACTTTAGATAATGGATGAAGAGTTGCGAAAGATCATGATTTGATTGAAATTAGACATTAACACTATTGGATATCAGTTTAGTGATCTAGAGGTTAAGTGTTTGCTCGCGAGACTGACGGTCTTGGGTTAGAGTCCTGTGTAAGGGATTATTGATGCAAACTGTTGAAAAGTCGCATACTAGGATAAAATGACCATTCAGTGCTTCCAGGTATTCAATGGTGGTCTAGCTTAAATCAATTGATGAATTCAACTATCAACAATTTAATGTCATTACCGCACTTCAAGTATGAATAATAGAGACATATCAAAAACTGAACTTATAACAATGTTATCAAGAAGTTTTATGCTAGTGTATAGTAATATCATGTTAATTTATATTTATGCTTCATTTGAGAATTACAACCTGGCATTATCTGCTGGTGTGAAATATTAGCCTCGAGTAATTGAAGAGTTTATTTCACACTCCTGGCAAAGTTCAAAAATTGTACTGTTACCTTGACAGCTTTATCTAACACAGTTTCTATGACTTAAATTTAGCTAATAATAATAATTATATTCTTTCATTATCACATTCATTTGAACTACTGTGTGAACATTGATTGTTATATGGTAACTTCTAGGAATTATGTATGAACTGTGATTATATATATATTCTTACTACATAACTATTAAGTAACTAGATTATATATATCACTTATTATAAGATTTCATTTGACCTATTGGCTACTATTATACGACTATTCTTATATTTTTTTATTATTGAGATCACGAACCGATTGATGTTAGACCACCATTCAAAACCTGGAAGCACTGGACGGCCGTTTCGTCCTATTGTATGAATCCACTGTCCAGGGCCTTCGGTCTAGCGCGCAAACGTTTAAAGTTCATACCACTGAACCGGCATTCAACTGTGTTAATGTCTAACCTTAACCAATCCACTAAATTGCACAACCATCTTCCATTGTACTGAAGTAGATACCTGTCTCTTCTCGACATGGATTAGCTTCACTGGTCAAAGCTTCTAACTAAAACTCTTTGAATACCCTCACGAAGCTAGTCACTAGCGAGCACATGTTAATTACTAGTATAGGGGTTGTGGAGATTATTATATTAATAGTAATATAATTATATTATATTATTCCCAATTTATTAATTATAGTATTTCACATTCACAACCATTTTTGGCCTGAACTTGTATAATTGTTATTTTCTATTTTATGATATAAAGCGGTCTGATTTGCTTATATATATAACTGCGTATATATCTAAAATACATTATTTATACAAATGAAGCTGTGATTGTGTTCTAGACTACAACAGACAAGGCTAAACAACAATAACCAATAAAGATTGAAAATAGATTCCAGGTTTGATGGTGGTCTCGTGCTTCTTGGCACTCGTCATCAATGTGTACCTGAAATCCTGAGGGAACTGGTGCTCCCTGGCGGATTCGGTCTCGTGTCACCCAGCTCCACAGTCAGAGACCTTATCACTGAGCTATCCGAGCGGCGACCACCATCTAATCTCAATATATAGTGCCCGCAGTGTCAAGTCACCTAGACTGGTGGCCACATTGCAGCATGATCGATAGCATTCGATCTGCACTAATCAGCACTAGACACGCATGACATTGATCGCCACCCAGTGATTAATCAATTGAGATTCCAGGTTTCTTATGCTGGATAACATGCCACTAGTTGGCTAATTTCATACAAGTCGGTATTCTAATTGGTGATCTAATCACTTAATCATAAAGTTAGTGAAATTAACAGCAGAAAATGTCACAGTTCTATTCTTAGAATTTATCATTACGTTAATGAACTAATTGTTGAAAATAATACATCTAACATTATAACTCTTTATTTATTATATTTATTACTTATGAAACGGAAATGAAATTCGTATTAGATTATTCTATATAGTTCGAAATTACAAGAAACTCTCAGTTCATATATGTATGTATGTATGTATGTATGTATGTTTGTAGGTAGGTAGGTAGGTAGGTAGGTATTTGGTTGTTTAAAGGTAACTACTTAAATAATAATGACGTTTCCGATTTCAACTTTTCAGCTTATTTCAGCTATCATACAACAATCATTAATATAATTAGATTTATAGCTTTCACAAAGACAATCCATTTTAAAACATACTTTTTACTAGATTTTGCGTTTTACTTTATGACCATGGTTTTTCAAGTATATAAGGTATTTCAACAAAAATTATTGTACATTACCTAACTACAATGGTGATGATGATGATGATGATTGTTCTTCTTATTTTTTTTTTAATTGTAATACCACATTTTTAATATTCTGTATGATAGAAACGTTATCATTCAATGATATATAGTTTGTTTGTCGGTCATTATTCTATCCCTTTTTATATCCACCGCAATAATCAATGATTGTACTTAAAATTACCGAGTAACCAGGACAAATTCGACATCAGTTTTGTTTACTTTTTTATTTATTCCTTTGATAAGTTTAGTAGAACATACTTCCAAGTACAGATATTTTAATATTCATAATGGTGCCTTTAAGTGACAGAAATATGTTTGGTTTTTTAAAAACAAACAAAACAAACTCCTGCCTACAATGTCAGTTGTTATGTTTATGTAATAGTTATAAGCGTTGAAATGACATTTTTATAAGTATAAAGTTTTAGTTTCTAAGATGAAATATTTTCATTAGTGTTCGTTTACTTAAATTATAAACTAAGCAAAATTGTATCTCATAATGTGGATTCAGTGATTTTAATGATATACTTATAGATCGAAAACTGAATAACATGGTTTAGATCACTGGCTCAAGCTGTGGTAGTCAACATTGAAGCTGTTTGTCACGAAAGTAGTGAAAAAGTCATTTATCAACTCAACAGCGAGCATCCAAGATCTAGAACGCTGAATCAGAAACGAGGAACTTCTGTCAAGTGCCCAAATGTCTAACATGTTGTTATAATTTGTGTCCTGAGCGACCTGTTAATGTATAACGTGATAACACCACCAATTAGAGAGCAGTAAATTATCAAACGGACCAATAACGCATAAAACCGTGCGAGCAGTCTAGAGTACTTATCGATCCTGCTTCCTGCCTAGCCCAACCTGTTAAGTTCAGAAACACCAATCTCAGCCTCTGCGATATCAATCATTTATTTCAAACATACTCGGTTTATATACCAACCAGACAGAGCATATCGTACCATAAAATACGAAATAACATTTATACAAGATTCAACCAAATGTGGATGTGAATGATGGAGGTAGTAATTAATAGACAAGGCATAATTCAAGAATGATAGATCGTAGAACAATAGCTCATAGGTTAAAATGAAGCTCATGATAAGATGGACATGAATATGAATAATTTAGTTATTTAACAATTATACGATAAAAACATACACATAGTATTGGTTCATAAATGGATCCCAAAAGTTACCATTCATTATTCTTGTCGGTACATAACACCTGTACACCACTGAATCAGGACTCCACATTGTTAATGTCTAAGGTTCAGCCACTGAAGGTTTTTAGGTTTTCAATGGTAGTCTAACATCCATTGGTTCATGATTTTAATGAAATCCAATATTTTCAACAACTCAAAATGGAAAATGATACCTGACCATTTATATATATAACTTTATCTAATACTTTAGTAACTCAGTTCGTTTGAACCACCAAGATGAGTTGTTATAAACTACAGTATATAAACTTTCATATCCAAATATTGATTGCTAAGATCTATTCCAAAGATAATAAATATCTGATTCATTATAACATCTTTTAACAATTATTTCATTGTCATTTTAAGATGTCATTTATTTATATAGTTAGATCATTTTCCAACGATCTAATTCATTTAAACTTTAAGCTAGATAGCTGAATATTATTAAACGTTGTACTGTAGATCATTGTTTTTACGGTAACCTTGTAATGACCTACTTTTATCAAGAGAATGCGATTGGTTCAATGGAAACAATTATTATTATAACCAATTTTACAAGGGATTGTCTTACCGTACTTATTTGTTTAACTGTACCAAAACACATACTTTCTCCCGTTGATTGTGATCTTGCACGAACTCGGTTACACTCAGTAACCACACTTGTAACAGGGCACAATCTCGATATTCTTTCGATATCACGTGATCGCCAACAAATACATCTCGACTACAGCCATCAACTGCCTTCTGATATTTGGGGATATTATCGGTTAACTGGCACGTAGTTTTCCTGTAATGTTGATCATAGTCAACCGCGACTCAACGCTACACGACAATCTTTTGTATTGAGACATTAATGATGGACGTTAACTTTTGAACAAGTGATCTTCTTTCATATTTCATAACTGTTATTTACTAAAACAGATCAGTTTATTTTGAAAATATGTTGAAACATATAAATATTTGATTAAAATTGATTTTATCCCCTCAAATCTTAACAATCAAATCAAATGGTATTATAATAAACTTCAGCTATGTAAAATAAGTGACTAAAACTAAGATCACATTTTAAGAACTCCATCAAACTCATAATAGTAAAACAGATCCATCTGTATGTAAATTGTTCAAACTCCACCAAAATCATCCACCTGAGCTACAAATCTTCTCCACCATATTCAAACTTAAGATCATACGTAACTTTAAACAAATTTCTAATCTTTAACAATGTTTCCCTAAAATGAGTTTAAAAAAAGCGATAGATATACTTCATTGAACAGTTTCTAACAATACATTCTTTCTAGAATGATTAATACACGTACTGTGGTGTGTACTACTGACGTCAACAGATATAAGTAGTATGTATCACCAATGGAAAATAGAATACCTAATAGTAAGCAATTAAGAAGATCAAACAGAACAGAATGAAATGAAATATTTACTATATAGTTCTTACATTTCACTAAGGCATATTATAATTTTGTATCCAAGTGCATTTCATTATTCCCACTTATGTGTTCTCGTTCACTGTAGTACTTTTATTAATACTAATAATCATAATAAAGTATATTTATATATTTTAAAATAAAAAATAATACAGAATATTAACATATTTGTCATGAAATAAATGACATTTCTATATAGAATCATAATCATAAATCTTTCACAATATTATACTGAATTAATAGATAGTAATAATGGTACATGTAAATGTATATAAAATACATTATAACTTCTTTTTTCTTTCTATTTAGAATCAACAATATAGATTTAAACATAATCCATCTCGATAGTTTTACATCATTAACACCACTTAAATATCTTGAATATGTTGTTGTTGTTATGGTGGTGGTGGTGGTGGTGATGCTGTTGGTGATGGTGTGGTGGTGGTGGTGGTTATTGTTAGTAGTATATTGTATTTCTTTTTTTTTTAAGCATCTGAAATACAATTTATATTTGATTTATTATGTAATTCACTATGAGTAGTTGAATGATTTATAGGGAAATAATGAATAGAATTTGAATTGCCTTCATTTATAGATGATGGTTGATTCATACGAATGATTGGCAATTGTATATTATTATTATTATTATTGTTGTTGTTACGTGTTAACAAATTTGTTTTAGTTGTTGAACGTGTTAATTTAGGTAAACGTATTTTAAAACAAGATAAAAAGCATGAATAAAATAAATGATAAATATCTTGTCGAAAATTTTTATTTATCCATGCATATATAAATGGATTATAACATGTGGATGAATCCCGAGCAAAATTTGCTGCAGCCCATGCTTTAATTGAATATGATTTAAACCAAAAGTCACGATTAATTAATCCATGTAAATAAATTGTATGCCTTGGTAATTGTGATAAACCATACATTAATGCTACTAATGTTAACATTTTCACCATCTGAAATGAATAAATACATTATAACATATCTAGATAAATATAATCGTATATATTGGAAAAAAAAAGGTTGCATGAAATCTATATAGTCATTCTGTTTAACAGTGAAAGCCCTCGAATGCCCTGGTACGGACGAGAGTGGGGAGAATTCGCTCTCCCTCGACAAATGCTCTCACATAGCCGCGCGTTTATAGCCTCTGCCAGGGAACTCCTACTCCCTGCCTTCACGTGGATGGGGTGAAAGAACAAAAAGCGAATGTCCGACGCTTTAACCAGGCCGATGGACATGGAGAGTCTACCTAGGGGAGTTGGAAAACCATGATTCCCAACCAATCGTGCACATGAGCTCCAGTATCCTGAAGGAACAAATAGCGTACGAACGAAACGTTGGTGACCGGCTATCATGGGACTGCATCTCCTTACGATGCTCCACTGCATTGCGGATCAGACTTTCAGGTCGAAGTCTTGGGGTGTGGCCCTCTAAGAAAACCACCTGCTTAGGTTTGGCAGTATCCCACCCATTGCATAAATCAAATGATTTATATAGCGCATATCTTTTTGATGCCTTCTTGTACCAATGTTTATGTGTTTAACCAAATAAAAATCATTAATAAAACACCAACAAATTTGTCTTTCTGTCTATGGTTTTTTTTCAAGAAGGAATTACACCCTTTTTGAAAATTATGTTGTGCACAAAGGATGGTAAATCAATCCATCGAAAGAATACTGTAATATATACAAACACGCTTTATCTAAAGCTACAATATTTATGACTTAATAATTACGTAATTGAATTCATGGACAGTTTGTCAACTAACATTAACAGATATATGTTTATGGATACAAAAGTAGTGGAACAATCTTGTATATGATTATCAATTAAGTTAATAAAATTATCGCAAATGAATAACTACGCATGTTTATAATATTGTCCTAGTCAGTCAGTAACAACGTAGAACTTTGTACCTTTGTACATCAGCTCGAGTTGCCACATTACAATATTGTCCTAGACAAACTATTTATCGTATGCTACACATAACCATAATTCTATTTGAAGTTTTTCTGATTTTAAGGAACATTTACTTTATCAAGGTTATTTCAAGCTGATTAACTGAAAGTAGTTTATAATGTAGAAACTTTGATGAAGGATTAAATGTTTTAAAAATAATAAAGATGAATTATACATCTACATTTATGCGTTACATGTTTCTCATTCTGATGATCAAATCTGTTTCAACTCATATCAAAACATTTTTAGTTGAGATCATGAATTAATCAATGTTAGAGAGGTAATTCTTAGAGTTCTAGTGAGAAACCGTGACCAGTTGAGATAGTCTGTGGCAGGTATCTACCTCAGACAATGAAAGATAATGGCGCAATATCGTGGATTAGCTGCAGTCAGGCATTAACACCATTGGATACCGGCTCAGTGGTCTAAAAGTTAAGCGTTCACACGCGAAACTGAAGGTCCTGAATTCGAATCCTGTGTGTGGTATCTTAGATGCGCACTTTAGAGAATTCCCATACTAGAACGTAATGGCCATCCAGTTCTTGCAAGTTTTTAGTGGTTTTCTAACATTGATCGACTTGTCAACTCACTCAAAAACTCAACAATCTCCACAACCCCATTACTGATCACATCAAACTGTTTGTGACAATAGATTCTTCGACGTTCGTTATTTCATGTATCATTAGCCAGATAACTTTAGAAAAGCAGAAAACACTTTGAAATTATTTTATTCTAATTTCCAACTAGTCTTGGTTCGAATACATGAGACATTTAGGTCGCGTACATAAAAAGTAAGTATGAGATCTCTAGGCGTTTATTTTGTTACACCATAATTATGTACAGCATTGATTTTATTTCTGACATGTTACGATTCAATTAAGTACTTCCGCATGGGAGATAAAGCATTTTATCCATTAAAATGATAAAATTCTGACAATATGCTATTGCTCCATATTTTAGTCAAGTAGAAATTTCATAAGAACAACAAGAGAAATAAATGTAAACAATATGACCATAATTTAAATAAGAGCAGATATAGATATTAGCTAGCAGTTGAATTCAGGACTCATATTTCGTCCTAGTTGGGACTCGTTGGCTAGATGTTCCTGCATCTTAGAGTTCACATTCACTCCAAGACTCGAACCCAGTACCGTTCTCTTCAGACGTCATCGTGTGTTAGGTTTGAAGCTTCACGGGTTCACTTAGACTGCGAACTAGAACAATACTCAGTGACCAAAGACCAGTAATCTAACTATTGACGCGTCCCAGCCCCGCTATCTAGAAGGAGAAGTCCAGGCTTGGTATGGAAAATATATTCTGCATACAACCAGAAAACGAGCGAGCAAGCAAGCAACAGCAGCGAACAATCAGACACAATTTTAAACGTATATATATATATATATATATATATATATATATATATATATATATATATATATATATATATATATATATATGTATATATATATATAAAATCGATATTGTCATATTAAAATGTTTTTTTTAAACATGACTCATTCAGTTCATCACTCGACAGGCATTTGAATATTTAGTCGATAAGTTCATCATGTGACTTCCATTCAAATATTTAATCGATGAGTCAATCGATATGATAAAATTACAAATATGAATTTTGGGGACATACCGTCCCAACATCGTGTTATCTACTGAGCTTTTGAGTTCTGATAGTCAGATAGTCCCGAATATAAAGAGACACGTATCTCGGATTCCACTGCTATCCACTTATAATGCTCGTGAATTATGAGAATATAGAAGTAATACGTATAGGGTGAACATATGTCAATATGTGACTGATCAACTGAAGTCCTAAAGTTCATAAGGGCGATTCAAATAACCAATAAAATAATGAAATAATTTAAATATGTTTCATAGTTTTTTATGAAAATCTAAATCTTTTGAGGTTCAGATAAAATATTTCACTGTGTCTCATAAGTAATAAGGTAGGTTTAGAATTTTCTTATGTCATAATGGATATGAGTTTAGATAGATATTTGAAGTTCTCCAAATAACTGACCAATAACTTTTCAACAAATACAAACCAGTTCATTCATATCATTTTCCTCAGATACATTCTGAAAGAACAAGTCATATATACGGATGAAATACACAAGGAGTACAACAATTTCACATTATTGTGCTGGTGAGCGGCCTATGCTCCTTCACGAGGAGTAACAGGCGTAAGTAAGTAAGTAAGTGTCAAATACATATTATATATATTAAATATAAGGACAAGTTATAGGGGATGAACTAATCAAAATCCTATCATCTAAGATATTCAAGTTACTATTAAGATTGATGTAATTTAATTCGGACGTATCCGATTAAGTAGTCACATTCTTAACAATAACTATATCAAGAAAACATATGCATAATATAAACGTCAAACTCTCCACCTAATGAACGTTTTGCCTAGATCTTTAAGAATTGTTTTCTACAAAACATTCACTAATTTATTCTTGGATTGGTCAGAGTTAGACATTAACACCGTTAGATGCCAGCTCCGTGATATAGAGGCTAGGCATTCGCTTACGAGACGGAATGTCCTGGGTTTGAGTTCCAATTGCGAGATCGTGTATGCATATTGCTGAAGAGTCTCATACTAGGAAGAAACAGCCATTCAGTACTACCAGATATTCAATGTCAGTCTAGATGAGATCAGCTCATGAATTCAGCCACAAAATTACGCTAATTTTTATTTTAACTTTGAACTGATGCTGACATTGGTCGACAATTGTATTAAAATTATAATCGCAAGCTAATCAAAGTAAATTTAACTTTGGAATCTCAGCTATTTACAAATTACAAGTTTATGAATAACAATATGACTTATAACTGAATTTCGTTTCCTATTAGCAGTGTTTTATGACATTATTACTTAGTAATCATCACTTGACAACAACCAACCACATGTCTCAATTCAACTTATTTATGATGAAATCCATTTGGTAAAGTCTTCTTTTGCAATATTTGTCATATTAAAACAAAATATAAAATGCATTTTGTATTGTTTGTTTGAATGTTCACATTGATGTTTAAAACTTCAATTGATCAGTTTCTTATCGATCCATGTGCATCCTGTGAGGATTGACTTGAGATTGGTTGAAGTCACAAGGATTATAGGCAATGATGAGTGGTGGGTAGCCATGGAATCCAGGACGCACGTTTCGTGCACATATGCCAATAATAGACTGATCAATTACAGTCCTAAACATCAATCAGAACATTCAAACAAATAATACAAAATGATTTAGAACTTTAATTCATTGACAAGCAAGTGGTTATCAGTACTCATTAGCTAAATGGATTATACAGTGACGTTAGAAGTGAACGGTACTGGATTCGAGTTTCATAGTGAACATCAACTCCGGAGTGTAGATAAATCCAACTGACGTGTCATAATTGAGAAGAAATACGTGTCCTGAAATCCACTTCTAGCTACCATCCATCTTTGTTAATAAATAAAATATGCACTGATAATTTTGTGAAATTGTCAACAAATTTCTTAATAGTTAAATGCTATTTGCTAATCGATTTAGCCTTGACACCGATTGATATTAATGATAGCGTAAATATGTCATTTCATGACATTAATTTAATATAATATCAATACTGTTATCCCCGGGGGATATAAGGTTGAATTATAGTTCAGTTGTCCAAAAATATTTCAAAGGTATGCTGAATCGTCGTTTCTTCGTTGATTGTTTACATCTAATTGAAAATGTGTCATTATTATTTATTTAAGTAGTATATATCTACATATTTAGTTATCAAGCTGATATTGAATGTCGACTTAGATGTATACACTCAGTATGTAGCTAATTTAGTAAATTAATACTTTATATGATACAATGGTTTACATAACTTTAATGTTAGACTTTTTCATTTTACATGGCAACAATAAATTTGTATGTAATCGAATCAATAATAATCACATATCATGGTCAGCATATTTTTTTTTTCTGTTCACCACACA